TTTACTTCTCAAAACTGATCTTTTTTTAAAAAGCTTTTTATTATTGTGAGAACATTATAATATTTCCGAGACATCTTATATTTTAACATTATTGCTTTTTTTGTAGGTTTTGGGTATTTTATTTAAATTTTATTTTTGTATTATGAATGTGAATAATGTGTATATGTTAGTGTTTTTTATGATAATTTCTAACTTTCTAACTAATGTAAAGTGTCTATGAGTACTATGAAAAGTGCTCTTTAAATAAAAAAAAATTATTGTTATGGTAATTGTCAGATTATATTTGACTGCAGTCCTGAAATGTTTATAGAATAGTAGATAGGCTACAGCCTATTTCTAAATATATTCTTGTATATAAATGTGTTTTTATGCAAAATAAATAAAATCAATCATAATGTGAATTTAAATATATGCGATATAAATATAATTTATATCATATTCATAATAAATGTGAGGAAACAGATGAAATACATTCAAAACAACGACGGTAAACATATAAACAATAAGTAGAACCCTTTTTTTAAAAAAAAAAGTAGATCAGTAAATAGAGAGAGAGATAAGAAAAGATAAAAATAACTCTTTAAATGTAATAAAAAAAATAATACATTAAATAAATTAGAGTGGTGACATTAAAAAACATATGTATACAATATTCACATTATTTAGACAATATATTTTTATAGTTATCATAAAAGCCTGTTGGTAATAATAGAACAATGTTGTTTCGTCGTTAGTTTTAACTACATCTAAAATACTTAATATCAGAAGAAGACTTTTATTTTCATCTCACCGGAAACAGCAGCTCTTATTGTGGTGACTTGACTGTACGCATGAACCAGCAGCAGTGGCGCGCGCGCGCGCGTGTGTGTGTGTGTGTGTGTGTCTTCTCTGTTTACCGGGGGAGAGTGGAGGGGGGTGGTGTTGAGGGGGGTCCCCGGGGACTCCGCCGGCACCGCCGCCTCTGCCAGGCAACGGCGCCGCTCAGAGCTTCAGAGAGCCGGGGATGAGAGCAGGCGGGCGGGCAGGTGTCAGATCAGTGCACCGGAGAGGAACACCGACACATCACCGGCAGTATGATAAAAACTCTCATGTTTCATTCATTGACGTGCACACTTTGTAACACCAGCAGTGCTTCAGAAACTACTCAGGTCTAGATAATACTTTATTACAAGGAAATGTCCCACTTTCAAAACTGTGCTTACAAAATGTATTTAAAGTATGAAAAGTTCTTCTAAAGTAAGTGTGCCCACATGTACCCTCCACTATATATAGTAGCCTGGTACAGTAGGTGACCTTGTGTGCAGCTGTCTGTGCTGGGTGTTAGCAGCATGTTTGCTGTTGTATTGATTTCAAACATGTTGTAGCAGCTTGTTGTTGTTGTGTGATCTGATATGTTCACACTGCCACAGCTTCAGATACATCACATGTATCATATCTGTTTGTTACTCAGCAGCTGTAACCTGCAGCTCACCTCCTGCATGTTAAAATATGTGTCAGTTTGATTTGTGGCTTCAGTCAGATGAACAGGTGTTGAAGAGGAACATCACTCTGACTGACAGGTGAAGTCTCTGTGAGCCTCTAAAGCTCGTTACACAGACTGTCCCGATGGTGGCGCCACAGGGGGGTCATGTCATTATAAACTGGGTTATCCTCAGTAAATAAGCATAAAGCATAAAGACCAGAAACAGAGGGAAACAGCTATCTAAGCTTAGCATAAAGAGTGGAAAAGGGGTAATAGCTATTTTAGTTTAGCACAAAGACTGGAAAAGGGTAAAAAGCTAGCTTAGCTTAGCATAAAGACTGGATAAGGGAAAACAACTTTCTTAGCTTAGAAAAAAGGACTGAAAACTGGGCTGAAACACTTAGCTTAGCATAAATACTGGAAACTAGGGGAAACAACTAGTTTAGTTTAGCTTAAAGACTGGAAACTGGGGCTAACAACTACTATAGTTTAGCAAAAAGACAGAAAACAGGCGGAAACAGATAGCTAGCGTAAAGACTGGAAACGGGGGAAACAGCTTGCGTAACTTAGCATAAAGATGGGAAACAGAAACAGCATAAAGACTGGAAAGAGGTATGAGCTATTTAAGTTTAGCATAAAGATTAGAATTGGGGAGACAGTTAGCTTAGCTTGGCATAAAAGAATTGAAATGGGAAAACAGCTGTCTTGGCCTAGCAAAAAGACTGAAAATCGGGAAACAGTTAATTTAGCATAAAGGATGAAGAAATTATCTTAACTCAGCATAAACACTGGAATCAGGGAGCCAGCTATGTAGCTTACCCTAGAGACTGAAAATGGGGTAATGGATAGTTTAGCATTAAGAATGGAGACTGGGGAAATAGCTAGCTTGGCTTAGCATAAAGTCTGGAATCAGGGGCAAACAAATACCTTAGCATAAAGATTGGAAACTGTGAAAATAGCTAGCTTTTCTTTGCATGAAGACTGGAATCAGGGAAACAGATAGCTTAGCACAAAGACTAGAAACAGGGAAACAGATAGTTTAGCTTAGTTTAGCTTAGCATAGAGACTGGAAAAGGGGTAACAGCTATCTTAGCTTAGCATATAAACAGGAAATAGAGGGAGACAGCTAGCTTAACTTGGCATGAAGACTGAAAGCCATAAAAAAGGGAAATCAGCTGTTTTAGCCTCGCGAAAAGACTGAAAATGGGGAAACAGATAGCTTAATTTAGCATAAAGGATGAAAAAGTTATCTTAACTCAGCATAAACACGGGAAACAGGGAGCCAGCTTTCTTAGCTTAGCATAAAGTCCGGAAACAGGGGTAAACAAATAGCTTAGCATAAAGACTTGAAACTATGGAAACAGCTAGCTTTTCTTAGCATAAAGACTGGGAAGGGAGTAACAACTATCTTAGCTTAGCATAAAGACTAGAATCAGGGAAACAGCAATCTTAGCCTAGCATAAAGGCGGGAAATGGGGGGCAGCTAGCTTAGCTTAACCTAAAGACTGGAAAAGGGGAAATAGCTAAACAGCATAGCATCAAGACTGGAAACAGAAGAAGACAGCTGGCTCGGTAAATGTTTCTTGCTGGACAGCATCTGGACTCAGTTACTACTTTGTCATGGCCATGAGGTTGCTAGGCAACCAGCAGAGATACTACACAGAAGTGATTGGCAGATAAATGGTTCACTGTTTGTCTAGACAGATACAAGATCAGTAAACTGGAAATGCAAGATAAAGAAAAGGAAAACTTATTTCTTAAAGTACATTTTATACCAAAAGCAGTAAGACATTGTGATTCATGAAAGATGAAAATAAAGACTGATGCAAGACACAGGAGCTTTAAAAATTGGACAGCGAGATTAAATAAAAGTTAGTTATGCAGGTAAGGTAAAAGCAAGTTTTAAAAGTTGTGTGTGAGATGATGAGTGACCCACATGCAGCATAAGTGTGGCCTTCAGGAACAGTTACTGTGAGAGTTCCATGAACACATCATGAAGTCCTGCTCAGGTACAGATGGGTGCACCTTACCTGTTCAGACCTGCAGACAGCTGCTCAGGAACTGTAAACATTGAGGAGTCAAGTTACCACTCTGCTCACGAATCACTTTGCTATATGGACAAAAGTATGTGGACACCCACTGTGTGTATTCTTTTGTGTACTCTCAGTCCTGGGTCTGTTCTTCAGGGTGCGGACCTCTTCCTGCAGCACACAGTGATATTCTAGACAACTGTCTATTTCCAACTTTATGTCAACAGTTTGTGTTTCCTCTTTTAGCATGACAATAACAAAGCTTCATCCAAGTTTGTCTGGTTGTGTGAATATTAGTATCATATATAGAAGCAGCTGGTCGGAGCAGAAGAGGAGGTGATTCAAAGTCAAGTCAAACCATGTGTTAACAAGCAGTTGAACAGGTGTACCTAATAAAGTGGATGGTTAGTGTAGATAGATAGATAGATAGATAGATGTCAACATAAAAATATTGTCCACATACTTTTAGACAGTGTGTTCTGTGTGTCAGTATGAGACAGAGCCAGTCTCACTCTGTCCTCTGTCTCCCCCTGGTGGTGCTGTGAGATACTGGTGGAAGTGGAAACCAGTGATGTGCAGTAGAAGCTGCTGGTCTGTGAGGAGACGCAGCTGAGTTCATTAAGTCCTGGATGAAGACGTGTCCACAGGGCAGAGATAACAGATAGTGTTCTCCTCTGTGGTGGCACTTATTGATCCGACTCAACGGCTAATTCACCTGTTTTTCTTCTTCTGTGGTGGGCTTCATCGAGCGCGGCTGCAGGGAGAATACACACATTAGTGGAGCCTCATATTTCACCGCTGTGTACTGAGAGTAATCAACTCCTGCTGACAATGGACCATTGATTTAATGAGACACAGCACTGTCCACAGCTCCTCCGTCACAACAGGGGACTCAATTATTCTGTCCTCTCATGTCCTCAGAGACGCACTTATTCTGAAGTCTGCACCACAGAAAGGCTTTTATTATTAAGTTTACACTACAGAGAGGCTTTTATTATGAAGTCTGCACTACAGAGAGGCTCTTATTATGAAGTCTGCACTACAGAGAGGCTTTTATTATGAAGTCTGCACCACATAGAGGCTCTTATTCTGAAGTTTGCACTACAGAGAGGCTTTTATTATGAAGTCTGCAC